TAAAACCTTTTTTCATGGTTGAACAATTTGGTTTTTTGCCTGATAGGTCTGTAGAATCTAATTTAATTACTTACGTTAATTTCATTCAAAATTCGCTTAATGATAACTGTCAAGTTGATTCTATTTACACAGACTTCAGTAAAGCATTCGATAAGATCGATCATAATATCCTAATTTCCAAACTAGTAACTTTCCCGTTGCCTTGTTCAATCATTGCTTTGTTAAAATCATATATTTCGAATAGAAGGCAGGCAGTTCGTTTATTTGACTGTATTTCGAAATCTCGAGCTGTTACGTCTGGAGTACCCCAGGGGAGTCATCTCGTCCCGTTATTATTTGTAATTTACATTAACGACATTGGATCCTGTTTTATGCATTCCAGTTTCTTATTATATGCGGATGATTGCAAAATTTTTTCCCCTATACGTACAGTTGCTGACTGTATTAAATTGCAAAGCGATCTTTATCGGTTTAACACTTATTGTTCTATGAACAAACTTCTTCTAAATTATGAAAAATGCTCCAAAATTTCTTTTAGCAGAAAAAGATATAACATTGATTTTTCATATCTGCTTGGTGTTGAATCTATTTAATGTGTTACTTCTATCAAAGACCTTGGTGTGATGCTAGATTCAAAACTCTTATTTTCAGATCACATTGAGTATATCTTTTTCAAAGCTATGAGACAATTGGGGTTTATTCTAAGAACTACCTATGTCTTCTCAAATCTTGATTGCTTAAAAATCCGCTTATATGGCATATGTTAATAGTATTCTATCTTTTTGCTCGGTGGTTTGGAATCCAATGTATCACATATACATTGACCGTTTGGAGTTGGTTCAGCGTCGTTTTGTTAGGTTTCTCGCTCATAAATTTCACTTACCTTATTGTGAGTACTCGGTTGCTTGTGCGGTGTTCGGATTGATTTCTCTGCCTCGCCGTAGATTTGTGAGCGACTTGTGTTTATTATATAAACTGGTTACAGGGCTTATTGATAACCCAGAACTCTTATCTTTAATTAGTTTTAATGTCCCGCAATATCGCACTCGCGATAGTTTTTTGTTTAGAATACCTCCTTCGGCGTCTAATGCGTATACTAATTCGCCTATCCTGCGCATATTAAATTCTTATAATAAAGTTTGCCAGTCGATTAATATTTTTAATTATTCTTTTGTGTCGTTTAAAAAGAAATGTATGTTGCTTCCCAACATTGACTGAATTTTTGAGATGAAATTTACTTTTAGTTGTTGCTTTTGAATTGTATTTTTGTTTTTTTTCTTTCATGTCTGTTTGGCTTCATAGTTTAGGACTTATTATGTTATATCTGTATTTTGTTTGTAAATTTTGTGGATGCTTTATTGGGGTAACCTGTCTGCATCCCGAAATGAATAAATAAAAATAAAATAAATAAATAAAGTAAGACATTAAACAGCAATAACTCCATTTCTGTTGGTAATACAGTAATGCACTTAAAATGCAATATGCAAAAATATATTTCCATAGAAACCAGGACGTACCTACTTACTTTGTTCCACATAAAATGCAACATATGTGAATGATTCTAGTTCTAGGACTAATGTTAGTTCTAGTGACAATGTTACTATGTTGCATATTTTTATTACACAAAAACTAGAACTAACACTAGACCTAGAACTAGAAACATTCGGGTTTAGCCGTCTTGAGAGACGTGCGGCTAAACCTGAATGTTTCTAATTCTAAGTCTAGTGTTAGTTCTAATTTTACACTAGCACTATCACTAGAACTAACATAAGACCTAGAACTAGAATCATTCGGGTTTAGCCGTCTTGAGAGACGTGCAGCTAAACCCGAATGTTTTTAGTCCTCGGTCCAGCGTTAGTTCTAATTTTACACTAACACTATCACTAGAACTAACACAAGACCTAGAACTAGAATCATTCGGGTTTAGCCGTCTTGAGAGACGTGCGGCTAAACCAGAATGTTTCTAGTTCTAAGTCTAGTGTTAGTTCTAGTGTTACACTAGCACTATCACTAGAACTAATACAAGACTTAAAACTAGAATCATTCGGGTTTAGCCGTCTTGAGAGACGTACGGCTAAACACAAATGTTTCTAGTTCTAGGTATAGTGTTAGTTCTAGTGTTACACTAGCACTATCACTGGAACTAACGCAAGATTTAGAACTAGAATCATTCGGGTTTAGCCGTCTTGAGAGACGTGCGGCTAAACCCGAATGTTTCTAGTTCTAAGTCTAGTGTTAGTTCTAATTTTACACTGGCACTATCACTAGAACTAACATAAGACCTAGCACTAGAATCATTCGGGTTTAGCCGTCTTGAGAGACGTGCAGCTAAACCCGAATATTTGGTAAATTTCAAATAAATCACGAAAATTTGTTGAATCTTACGAAAACTGTGAGGAGAAGTACATTGATGCTAAGGGTGAGATGTTAGATGCACTTGATGCATTTGTTAGAAAAGAATCTTTTAATGATGACGTTATTTTTCCAAGTCCCAATAGATCCTTTCATTTACCAAAAATTGAATTATCAAAATTCTCTGGTAATTACACTCAATGGAGTAACTTTCGAGATTTATTCTCATCAATGGTAAAAACCAATTCAGATTTAACACCAGTTGAAAAGTTACATTATTTAAAAATGAGTTTAGTCGACGAACCCACTTTTAAAAAACATAGAAATTAGCAGCGATAATTTTGTTCGTGCATGGGACACCTTAATGGATAGCTACGAAAAAGAATATTATTAATAGATTTCCATTTATCTTCGCTTTTCAATATATACAATATTAAGCAAGAATCCTCTACTGAAATCAAACGCCTAATTGGTAAAGTAAAAGAATCCTTAGGTGTACTAAAGTCATTAGGATGCCCAGTCGATTCATGGGATCATATACTAGTTTTCATAACAGTACATAAGCTCGATAACGAATCGTTAAAAGATTGGGAGAAATCTATTGGATCAAATAAAGTCTCCGCAACTTTTGCTGAATTAGAACATTTTTTAATCGGTAGAATACATTCTCTGGAAGCAATAGAACAAATTTCTAACAATAGTAGATTACCCACTTTGCAAACCTCAAAATATCACCTTCGTCTTAAAAGTCATAACGTTGCGACTTCGCCTCAATCCTGTGTTTTATGTAAAGCGGAACATTATATTAATGCCTGTCAACAGTATCTCAATAAAACACCCTCTCAACGAAAAGAATTTGTTATAACAAAAAGTTTATGTTTCAATAGCTTAGGACCTCATTTACTAAGAAATTGCAGAACAACAAAAAGATGTAGATTATGCCAAAAACAACATCATAGTACTCTCCATAATTTACAATCTTCCGGATCAAAAATTACCATGGCCACTCCAGTTCCTTCGATTGAATCTACGTCTCAACAAAGTACAACCTCACAAATATGCAATAATCTGATCCAACCAAATGTTGTCCGTAATAAGAATGTTCTGTTGGCAACAGCGATTATCAATGTAATATCAAAAGTTGGTCAGTGTGAACTACCTGCACTCATTGATCAGGGTTCGCAAGTTTCGTTTATATCAGAATCTTTGGTGTAATTATTACATCTTAAACGGCCTTCTGTAAACATACCTATTTCTGGAATCGCAGCTCAAACTGCAGGTCACTCTCGAGGAATTGTATCACTGCGATTTTTCTCAAAATTAAATCTTAATAATGAGTATAATATTGAAGCTCTAATCCTATCAAAATTGACAGCATATCTATCAACTCAAAGATCATATAATTCAAATTGGAAACACTTACAAGACATTCCTCTAGCTGATAATGATTATTTGTCTAAAAGGCCCATAGATATCATTCTTGGTGCAGATGTGTACGCTCAAATAATTCAAGAAGGCATTAGACGAAGTGATGTTAATTCTCCTATTGCTCAAGAAACAACTTTGGGCTGGATTCTTTCTGGTTCTGTCGGAATGGCGTTACCGAAAACTCATCATATTCACAGTAATCAATGTTCTGTCGAAGTCGAATTGAAAGACTTAATACAACGTTTCTGGTTACAAGAACTGGTTACAGATGTTCTATTACTTCCAAAATTAACACCAGAAAATCGTTGATCTATCGTTGATAACCCGCTTACGTTAACATAACCTAACTTTTCGCACGTGAACCGCCCGAATTTCGTTCGGGTTGGTTGATCGTAGCGGCAAGGGAGGCTTGTTTTCTATTTCTAGGTGGAATGAGTTCAAGAAGCTCAACCCCTAAACCCGCGGCGGTATCCACACCGCAAACCGGATCGTCCGGAGGCGAGGACTTCATAGAAGTCCGCCAGCGTAGATACCGGCATAGACCGTGTGGGGCCGAACTAAACAGGAGAAGGAAGGAGAGAGCGGCTCTCGCTTCTGAGAACCTGAAACCAGGCCACAGCCGGGCCCCTCATAAGCCACCTAGGGGAGCTAGGACCAACCAACCACTGCAAAGTGGTAGGAAAGATGTCCGCACCCAGGGACAGGCGAGGGCGCAACCCAAGAGGCAGCGATCCGCCACCTCTACCGAACCCTCACTGAGGAAATCGAAGAGGAAGAGGCAGGAATCCGCCCTGGATAAACCGGCTCAACAGGGCCCTAAAAAAGGCTTCAAGGACGCGCTGATGTCGCACCTTAAAGTCGCCATTATTAACGGCCAAAATCAGCTGGGGAAACTCAGCGAGACTGAGGCCGGTCATGTCAAATACGAACTGACGAACGCTTTGGTCAAAGTAATTACTCAGCTCGACCCTAAACAACAACCGCCAATACCAACGTTTAGATCGATGGTCTATGCAGGCCAGATCTTAAAGGTCGCCTGCAATGATGATCACTCTCTAACGTGGTTGAGGGCTGCAGTACCGCTGATACCGCCCCTAGAGGGCGTAGTATTAAGCGTTGTCAGGGAAGTTGATCTTCCTACCCTCTCTAGAATCCAAATTTGGATTCCCGATACTGATGTGGATGTGAACACCAGGGAACAGACACTTCAAATACTAGCGGCCCAAAATAGACACCTAGATGTCGCCAACTGGTGCCTCTTCCGCTACGAAGTGAGGACAGACCCTGTGGGTCGCCTCATTGTCTTCGGAACAGCGAAGAAGGACGCCGAATGGCTTAAAACCCATGAAGGTAGAATCTGCTACCTTTTCAACACCTTAAAGGCCCGCGTCGGCAGATTAAAAGACCCCGAGCAGGGTGATGGAGCAGCCGCGGAGGGTGAAACGGCAGGGCGGATGGAAACAGCTGATGTTCCAACCGCTGAGGAAGATGAGGACACTCTCATCAACCTAGAGGCCGACCCCAAAACCCCGGCTTCGAGCAAGGAGTTGGATGAATCCATCCTGGATACACCTCCGCCCAGAACAGCATCAGCTGATCAACTCACCTCTTCATAATGGAAGGAAAAGGTGATGTATACAAGGCAGGTGACGAATTAAGGGTGGTGCAGTGCAACCTACATCATAGTAGGGCAGCAACTGCCACCCTTTGTCGCCACCTTGATATGATGATTAACACTATCGCACTGATCCAAGAACCTTGGGTTTTTAAATCCAAGGTCTGCGGTTTCAGTGGTTTAAGCGGTTCTATTTTTAGTTGCCCTGCCACTAATAAGGTCAGAACTGCCATTTACGTACCAAAACACGCAAGCGCTCACCTGTTGCCTCAGCATACAGGAAGAGACATTACGTCGATTAGAGTACGGTGTACCATCAACCGAAAGGTTAAGGAAATAACGATGGCATCAGTATACCTCCCGTATGAAGACCAGCCTCCATCCCAAGGATTGGAAAGGCTGGCCGAGGACGCGAGGAAAGGTAACTGGAATCTTGTCATCGGATGTGACTCTAATGCACACTCAACTGCCTGGGGCAGTGCTGATGATAATGGAAGAGGTAAGTCCCTTCTTGAATTCATTTTTAGCAGTAATTTAGATATACTTAATCGAGGCTCTGAGCCGACCTTTATAACCGCTAGAGGTCAATCAGTCATCGACATCACACTCGCTTCGATGGGTATCTCGTCTTTGATCCACAATTGGACGGTTTCTGACAATGTTTCAATGTCGGACCATAGATGGATCACTTTCGATCTTGGTACCATAAAGATTGGTAAGAACCTAAAGCGTAACCCCAGAAGGACGGATGTGGGCGTGTTCAAATCCTTGCTAACTGGGTGTTTGAGCGACATTGGGTTGCGTAATCCAACTGAAGGCCTTGAAGTTGAGGAGTACCTAAATACTATCAGTGACTCCTTAATTAAAGCTTATAAAAAGGCTTGTCCCCTCCGATCAGAGGCCGTCTCTGGGCGTGCTACCATTTGGTGGTGCCCTGAGCTCGGCAAACTCAAAAAGGAGGCAAGGACAGCCTTTAATAGAGCTAAAATCTCAAAATCAGACTCCGACTGGAAACTTTATAAAGGAAAATTAGCGGAGTTCAAAAAAAGCGTTCGTCACAGAAAACGAGAAACGTGGAGGAAATTTTGTGAGGAAGTTTCCTCATGCAGCGAAGTTTCTCGGTTAAATCGGGTTCTGGCTTCAGACCCTGAACGACGAATTGGCTTACTAAAAAAGGCTGACGGTTCTTATACCGACAACCTTTTGGAGAGTCTTCATTTATTAATGGAGGTGCATTTTTCAGGTTCCGGAAGTTCCGTACAAATACAACAGGACACCAACCATGAACCTACTGCAGATGATTGGATTTCAGCCGAAGAGATCTGCAGGGAGGATAAAATACGGTGGGCCATCAACAGTTTCTCGCCGTTCAAGACACCAGGACCAGATGGTATTATACCAGCCCTTTTACAATGGGGTCTGGAGGATTTAGTACCTCACCTGGTGGAAATCTTCCAAGCATGCCTGGCGCTGCGCTATATACCCAGTCGATGGCGTGAGGTCACAGTGAACTTCATACCAAAACCGGGTAAGCTTGATTATTTCACACCGAAATCGTTTAGACCAATCAGTCTCTCCTCCTTTCTTTTGAAAACTCTGGAGAGACTGTGTGATCGCTATATTAGAGATTTCTGTCTTCCAACTAAACCAGTAAATCCTAATCAACACGCTTACACTCAGGGCAAGTCCACACTAACGGCTCTTCACTCAGTGACCAGCTTTGTTGGTGGGGCGCTGGACCTAAAGGAGTCCGCCCTGGGTGTTTTCATAGATATAGAGGGAGCTTTTGATAAAACAACTCTCTCTGGTATTAACGATGCCTTGTTAGAGCATAATGTTCCACCGACTCTTTGTGGTTGTATTGAGAACACTCTTAAACATAGGATAGTTAAGCTTAGGGCTGGCGATGTCAGTCTTCAATGAGGAGTTACTCGAGGCTGTCTACAAGGGGGTGTACTATCCCCACTTTTGTGGAACCTCACCCTGGATAGCCTCTTGAACCGCCTCGCTGAAGCCAACTTTATCACAGTTGGTTACGCAGATGATTTAACCATTCTCGTCAAAGGCAAGTATATAAACGTGCTGTTTGACAGGATGCAAGTAGCTCTCAAACTGATAGAGACTTGGTGTGACGAACAAAGACTCTCTGTGAATCCTAAGAAGACAGAGTTGATTCTTTTCACACGGATGAGGAAGGTTGGCAATCCCAGAATGCCATCCCTTGCTGATACTCCATTGGTATTGTCAAAAGAAGTTAAATATCTGGGCATCACACTTGACAATAAAATGACATGGAGAGCCCACCTAGATAATAGAGTAAAAAAAGCGTACGTTGCATTCGGTCAATGCCGGAGGGCTATAGGTAAGACATGGGGTTTGTCACCCAGAAATGCCCTCTGGATTTACACGGCTGTAATCCGACCTATGCTTACTTATGGTGCAGTAGTATGGTGGTCAAAGACCCTACAGTCTACATCCACTACTGCACTTAATAAAGTACAGAGACTTGCGTGTTTGTATGTTACAGGTGCGCTGCGGACTACCCCCACTGCAGCCATGGAAAACATGTTAAACCTAACGCCACTTCATTTGTTCATCCAAGAGGTGGCATTGGTGACCATGACTCGACTGCGAGCAGCAGGAATTCTAATGGGTGAGAGAAATAGTAAAAATGCCAATCTCTGGAATGAAATGGTGGATTACTCACCAATTCTGGAGTGTGTAACGGACTTTACACCCCTACAACACATTTTTACGAAGAAATATCTCACCCACCCAAGCTCCACAGAAGTAGAGGTAAAAAACAGCCTTAAAATCTACACTGATGGTTCAAAGAGACGGGAAGGAGCTGGAGCCGGAGTCTTCTCGTACGATCTCCGACTCCACGTATCTGAACCTTTAGGTATAAGTACCACCGTCATACAGGCGGAGTTAATCGCCATACAACTTGCCGCTGACGTTATTGTCAGATCCAACTTGGTAGGTAAGACTTTTACAATTTATACTGACAGTAGACAAGCTATTTTAGCCCTGAGTAGAATAACAATTACCTCAGGACTTGTTATGGGTTGTCATCTGACATTGGAGAAGGCCGCAGTGCATAACTGTGTCATACTTCAATGGATAAAAGGACACTCGACTTGTTCAGGTAACAAGCACGCTGATAGGCTTGCCAAAAGGGCTGCCAAGCGAGCGCCATGTTCGCCTGAACCGATAATCGCTCCGTCCTTATCAACTCAGATTGAGATAATTAAAGATTTTACCCACAAAAAGTTCATGAACTGGTGGGATAGGGTTAAGGGTTGCCATCTGTCTAAGGAAGTATTACATTATCCTTCAGCAGAGGCAGCCTTGTCTTTCGTAAGGCTTGGTAGAAACGCTCTACGAACTGTAACGGGACTCGTCACGGGTCACTGTAAGGTAAACAAGCATCTTTATAACCTTAAGCTTGCTATTAGTCCTCTCTGTCGCCTCTGTAAAGAGAGCGAGGAGACGGTCCGACACATCTTGTGTGAATGCCCCACTCTGCAAGACCTCAGAATGAGAGACTTCGGAGAGGAATGGCCGACCACAGATGGCATCAGGAACACACCTCTGAGCTGTATCCTAGCCTTCGGAAATTCCTTAGGCTGGTTGATGTAGCCGGAGAGAGTGTAGGAGGATGTACAAGGGGCCCGTTGGGGCCTAGGTGCTGTGTGCGTAGCATACCCTCCGCTTTCCTACATACAACACCAGAAAATTTAGAATGTGAAGAATATTTCAGCCAAACACATCAACAAAATCAGGATGGAAGATATATTGTACGTCTTCCTCTGAAACATATTCCAGATGATTTTGGTGACTTTTACACAGGCGCTTTACGTTGTTTGATGTGAATGGAAAAACGATTCGCTAAAGATCCTGCTTTAAGTAAACAATACTGTGCATTTATGTCTGAGTATCTAGATTTGAATCATATGGAAAAGGTAACTAATTATTCAGCATCAGACAAACAGTTCTTTTTACCACATCATGGCGTCATACGAGAATCCAGTACGACAACTAAACTACGAGTAGTATTTAATGGATCTCATAAAACATCTAATGGATTTTCACTCAATGATTGTCTTCATGTTGGACCTTAATTACAAACTGAATTAGCAGATGTTTTGTTTCGCTGGCGACGTCATCGTATCGTATTTGCTGCTGACATCGAAAAGATGTACCGTCAGATTATTGTGAACCCAGAAGAAAGACCATTACAACAAATTTTATGGAGAAACAATCCAAACGAGTCGATTTCAGTCTATCAGTTAACTACAGTTACCTACGGACTAGCTTGTGCACCGTACTTGGCACTTCGTTGTCTCCGTCAAACTGCTCATAATACTCATGAAACGTACCCTTTAGCGGAAGATATAATTCTTCATGACACTTATGTTGATGATATTTTATCAGGCGCTGATAATATAGATATCGCAAAAACTCAAATTAATCATGTAAGAAATGCTCTCAAAAACAGTGGTTTTATTGCTAAAAAATGGATTGCCAATAATCCTGCTATTCTCGAAGATATTGATCCGAATGAACTCGCTCCTGTTGCTAACCGCCCATTCAATAATGATTGTCCGCTCAGGACGCTAGGAATAATTTGGAACAATACAGACGATTCGTTTAAGTTCAATTGGCAGTTACTCTTAGAACCACAAAATTTAATATTTACAAAACGAAAAGTTTTATCTCAAATCGCACAATTATTTGATCCTCTTGGATGGTTGTCACCTATAACTGTAAGCGCCAAAATCTTTATGCAACAACTTTGGTTAGAACAACTCGACTGGGATACTGAACTACCATCTCAATTATCTTCTCTATGGTGTATATTTCACAATGAACTTAAAAATATTTCTACAATCTCTATTCCAAGATGGCTTGGCACTATCTCAGATTCAAAATTTGAGTTACATGGCTTTTCCGACGTCGTGTACTTTATGACAACTCTAAACCGCGAATAACCCTTCTAATCGCTAAAACAAAAGTGGCTCCATTGAAACGCGTTACGATACCACGTTTAGAATTGTGCGCGGCAGTGCTACTGACTCGTCTCGTAAAACGCGTTCAAGAAACTCTTAATGTATCTAATACACCAATTCATCTTTGGAGTGATTCATCTGTCGCTCTCTCGTGGATACACAGCAACCCATCTAGATGGAAGGATTTCGTTCAACATCGTGTGATCGAGATTCAGGAACTTTCTGCAGCTCAATGGCATTTCATATCTGGCAGAGATAATCCTGCGGATATCGCATCACGTGGTCTCAGTACATCAAAACTCATCAATGAACAATTATGGTGGAACGGTCCAAATTGGCTTTCTCAACCGTCTACAACTTGGTTGTGTAATTGGTTCGTAAAAAACTTGAAAGAAAAATGTTTGCTTTCTTTTCCAGCCTTCTTATCTCCACAGGAAATCATCGATGCACTCATGTTCTGGGTAAAACAAACTCAACAGTGCTATTTTCACGAAGAAATTAAAATGCTCAACAGTCAGACTCCTCACCTCGTTCAAATGCATTGCATCGACTATGTCCATTTGTAGATGGTAACGGATTCCTAAGGCAAACTGGTCGTCTTCAATTTGCAAATCTAGACTGGAACGAAATCCCTTAATCATGCCAAAGGAATCAGCTCTTACTACACTTTTAATATGTCACCATCACCTAAAAAATCTTCATGCTGGAACTCAAGTAACGTTAGCATCCATTCGTCAATAATTTTGGATTATTGGAGGAAGAATTCCTGTACGCAGCTTCATTCAGCGTTGTGTAGTTTGTGTTCGCCAAAGAGCTACTTGCAGCCAAGAAATTATGGGTCAACTACCTTCGATTCGAGTGAACCCAAGGAGGCCATTCCTCAACTCCGGCATAGATTATGCAGGTCCATTTATGCTTCGAACTTTCCGAGGGCGCGGTGCAAAAACGTACAAAGGCTATTTAGTTGTATTCGTTTGCCTTACCACTTCAGCAGTACACTTAGAAGCTGTCACAGATTATACCACTGCTGGTTTTATAGCTGCATATAAACGCTTTACCGGTCGAAGAGGTATATGTTCAACTCTGCTAAGCGATTGTGGCACAAATTTAGTTGGGACTGATAAAGAATTAAGAACCTTACTCAAAGCCTCATCCCCAAGTTGGCAAAGTATCGCCTCAAGTCTCGCAGACGATGGCACGGTATGGAAGTTTAACCCTCCATCCACTCCCCATTTTGGTGAAAAATAGGAGGCAGCAGTTAAAGCCACCAAATTTCATTTAAAAAGGATCGTTGGAAATACTCTTTTAACATATGAAGAATTTACGACTCTTTTGATTGAAATAGAGGGAATATTAAATTCAAGACCACTTTGTCCCCTCACCTACGATCCAAATGATTTAACAGCATTAACGCCACTCATTTTTTAATAGGCGGAACAATAGCATCTATTCCTGAACCGACCATTTTATCCATTAATCCTTCTCGGCTTAGTAGATGGCAACTGCTTCGGAAATTTATGGAGCAGTTCTGGGTCTACTGGAGGAAGCACTATTTACAATATATTCAGAACCGTTCGAAATGGTTTAATTCAAAGCAGGAACTTCGTATTGGTTCATTAGTTTTGATTAAAGATGAAAGAATGCCTCCATCCAAATGGCCTCTCGCTCGTATTACACACCTACATTATGGACCAGATGGTCGTCAACGAGTAGCCGTTGTGAAGACTGCAACTACGTTACTTACACGCCCAATCCTTAAGCTCTGTATGCTTCCTATTGAATAATCATTATTGTACAGTTTACTTGATTCAATGTTTCATTATTTCTTCATTTCACTAAATTGTCAGTTATCAACAATAAAGATCTCGACACAGAAAAAAGCGCGTCTCTCTAAAAATAATTCTTCGTTGTGTGAATTGGTGACACAGGACAAAGATACTCTATCTCTCTTTCTTTTTATTAGTTTTTTTTTTACGCGAACGTTAATTAAAGTGAAGTTCCGAAAATTCCTTTATAGTTTATCGACATTCTCGGTATAGCGTTAGTTCTAGTTTTACACTAGCACTATCACTAGAACTAACACACGACCTATTGAATCACCCTATTTATCTACTTTACAAAACTGCCATCGGTTATTCGATGGATAACCTGAAACGACATTTGCTTAGAGAAAGAACTTTAGAGCTTGGAAGATGGACATGCAGGATAGATATAGTGGTCCTCCAAGAGCTGCGGTTGAATGACATAGATACGTTAAAATCAAGGCACTACACAAAAAGTGCCCGAATTAGATGACTGGGCCATCTGGAACGCATGCCATAAAACCGAAGTGTAAAGAAAGTATACCGCCAAAGAAGAGAGGGCCTCAAGATGACGTCGAGGAGGATTTTCGAACAATGGGAGTCCGAGGTTAGAAAAGACGCGCACAGGACCTTACATTAAAACTTACCTACAGCATTGAAAAATAAAAATTTTCGGTTTATCAATCATCCCTTTACAATTATCCCCATAAAATTGTTCCACAATCCATTTTGTACTTAAATTTTCTTCATCAATACTTTCAATCACGGTTTCTCCGTTTATTTTTGCACCATGACTCATAAAAATAGTAAGACACATGTCGTATTTTTCCAAACTTTGATTAGTTGCGAACGATTTCACGATTTCCTCCATTTCTGATTTGGTTTTATTTTTTTCTTCAACAATATCGAAACCGAGTTGTGTAAACAGTTTTACAATATTCTCTTGATCAACGATAGCGCCCCATCTTTTTCTTTCTTTGTCCCTAAAGTCAATGTTATTAATCAACAATAACATTCCACGGTTTTTTGGCGATTGCGTATAGTATGTTGTTACTTTTGAGTTATTCTGATGACAACATACCGACTTTTTAACTTTTATTTCTTTCTTCGAGTTAAAGGATGGCAAATTTCCGCGACTTTTAATTGAATGTTTAAACGAAATAGTTTCTAAGTTATCCCATCTCATTATTGTACCTGTTGTTAATGAAACACTCTGCCTCTTTAACGGATCGGTTTCATCATTTTCTAGCAATGATTTATAGAATGTTGAACTTTTTAAGATGTCATTATAAACATCACCATCTTTTATGTTTAATACGTTTTCCCTTTTTAATTCCTTTATGGTATCACCTTTACTATTTCTATCTATTATTATGAAGATGTTCTCCTTCACTGGTTTATATTGATTAGATACTAATCTTCTGCTTGGTGAAATACTCAAGTATATGTTGCAGTACTTTAAACAATTTATTGAGGAAATAGTAAAGTTTGGTAGCTCATTAACATTAGATAGATTTATTATGTCTTCGAAATAATATGTTTTCTTTGCCCTTCTAAATCGGATTTCATCTGTTGCGGTTGTTAAATCTCTAAAAATAAGCAATATAAGCGTATTAGGAAGATTATTAATTATTTTGGTGACTTACTCTTGCTTCAGTTCTTTAGACATAGTTTAATAAATTGAAAAATTGCACCGAAACGTTTTAAATATTGAAATAGATTAGAGAAAATCACAAAACAACGTTACACTGCGAGATTCATATCAGAATTGAAACCTTTTTTTAAACTATAAATCTATATATAGTATATCAATTAAATAGAAAAAATGATCTATCAATTTTCACTATCAGGGGATCTATAAAGACGATAATATAGTATTACAAGAAAAATACAATGTTATCAAGATATATGTTCATAATATACTTAATAAAATTTAAATGATTCGGAAACTATTTTTAAGTGTTTTAGGTTTCTTTTATTAATTCATTTTGAATATTAATTAATCGATATTTATCTCACGTTGTTGTAATTGATCAATATGTCTTTTAATTACATAAATCGTCAAATTCCACTAGATAATATAACCATCTCAATAATTCCATAGGGACTACCAAGCAAGCTTCAGACCAACTAGAAGCACCACGCCTATGACTGCACAAATTTGGAAAAGCTATATCTTATTCTAACAGAACTTGTAGTACCAGACAAACTGGTAAAATTAACCAAAACGACCGTGACGCACACGGACGCATGTGTACAAGTCCAAAATCAACTAACCGACCCCATAAAAGCTGAATGAAACCTGAAACAGGGGGAGACTGACAAATGCTTAGAATATGTTATAAGAAAACTAACAGCAATCAACCCCAAATACACATTAATCAACAAATCGTCCCAGATAACAACATACGCGGACGACATAAACATTCTGAGGTCACTGAAGACAGTGAGAAAGTGTACACAGAGTTCAAACACAAAACAAAGAAGGTCGGGCTAGAACTTAACACGGACAAAACAAATGTCATGGTACAAAAAGGAAAAAGAACAAAACATCACAGCGGAATACGATGGACGAAGACGATATAAAAGAAGTGGAGTAGGAGGGTTGAGCCGGGGCCTATTCCCCGGTCGGCAAGTTCAGAGGGCGGCCAAATTCACATTTTACAGACGAATGGACACCTCATCATTTACTTAACTTTGACGTTCAACGTAATTCACTCAGAGAAAGAACAATGGAGACAGATTCTGCGTACTGTTATGGATGCTGTATTGTATCTATCCACAAACTGCCTTTCTTTTCGCGGGTCCCACGAAACTCCTAGCGATCTCATCACACAATGTCCTCAGCCTAGTCAAGGTAACTTCTTGAACTTAATTTCCCTGCTCGCCAAACATAATTCAACTCTTAAGTTTCAATTAGAACACTTAAAAAAGGGACAAGTATCATATTTATCAAAGACAATACAGAATGAAATAATTAACATAATGGCAAAAACAGTTAGAAATAGCATTTTAAATGACATCAAAGAAGCCAAATACTACACGATAATGTTCGACTTCACTCCAGATGTATCCCATACAGAACAAATGAGCCAGGTAATTCGATGTGTAAGAAGAACTGGCGATGTGTGTGAAATAAAAGAAAGTTTCATTGATTTCATAGAAATTGCTTGAAAGACAGGAGAGGACATTTGTCAACAGATTTTAGAAAAATTGGTGGTTGATGATTTAGATATTGGACAATATCGTGGCCAATTTTATGATAATGGGTCCAATATGGCCGGCATCCATAAAGGAGTATAAGCCAGGATTGTAGAAAGGAATGAGCTGGCCGAGTTCGTACCGTGCTTGGCTCACTCCTTAAATCTTGTAGGTGTTCATTCTGCCTCATCATGCCAGGAAGCTATTAACCTATTTGGACTGATTCAAAAAGTATATTGCTTTTTTGTTGGCTCCACTACTAGATTGGACATTATGAAAAAATACGTTAAAACAAATTTAAAAGGAAGTAGTCAGACGAGATGGTCAGCGAAACATGTTGCTGTGAATGCTTTATTAAATAATTTTCCAGAAATAGCGGAAGCCTTAGAAGAAGTTAAGCAAACTTCTCATGCTTCAGAAGCTAAGTACGAGGCAGATCATCTCTTAATCGCCATAAAGGATTTTAAATTTATTCTTAATTTAACTATTTGGGCGAATATTCTCCGCGAAATCAATCGAGTGAATATAGAAATTCAGAAAGAAGATATTATCCTTGCCCGTTCCGTCGCACTAATGGATGGTCTGCTCAAAATTTTGCAAAAAATGAGACAAAATCCAATGGAATATTGAATAAAAGAGGCTGGAGAAGTTGCTGAAAAAAGTGGTGTTGACCCTATTTTGAAAACAAACGAATTCCGAAACGTAAAAAACATTTCGATGAGATGTGTGAAGACGAATTACAAACACTCCAACCTGTTCAACTATTTTCTGAAGAAATAATGATGGTATTTGATCGAATCATATCAGAAATTAAAAAGAGGTTTGATTATGCTACCATGCTGAATTTGAATTTTGCTTTTCTTAATGGTACTAATATTTTGAAAATGTCAATTGAAGAACTGCAAAAGTATGGAACAGATCACAGATCTGGCTCGAAAATACGAACGAGATTTAAGCGCCGTTGAATTCTGCCAGGAACTCTACGTTTTTAAAGAGCCAGCTCCGCTTTTATTTGGAAAGGCTAACGGTTTCTATCTCTTGCAACAGATGATCTATGCGCATGATTTGCAGGATCTTCTATGTGCCAGGAACGCTTATCAAGTCTTGCAATCTTAGCGATAGAAAATCGAATTGCACACGAGTTAAATTATGACAACGCCATAGATTTATTTGCTGAACAAAAAGCTCGAAGAGTAAAATTGTAATTTCAATTCACAAATGCAATAATATATTTGATTTATTCTACACGTTCATGTCTATACCGATCGGTAACTTTAATTTTAGGAGATGCACCCAACACGGACGTACGTATAAGTATATGCGTGTGTGTGTATTCGGTGTCGTTAAGTGGGGGATACACAAGCGTGGCGGTAATAATATTTCTTATCATTGAACGATGTTAGAACGACTGACTGCTCTGCGCTCCAGTACTCTTACGATTCCCCTCCCACAGGCATATTCCGCGCGCATATGCACACACACAAGTATACCTCCTATAGTCCTATGGCCAGCTTTTAAAGTTACCAATCTGTATATCTGTAAATAAATAGGCTTAACACAGAAAGAACAGCGATGGATGCATTATTTTCGGAAGGCCTATGTAGGCCATAGAAAAATATAATATACTATATATACTAGATGTAGGCTAAATATAAGTGGGCGGGGGCGGCATTTTTCAGTTTTTGCCCCGCCTAAAAAATATTGAAGATCCGGGGTTGTTGTGACTAAATCAAGTTTTGTTCTTAAATTTCTGTTCAGAGCGACCAATCAGTTGTTTATGGCAATTACTGAAAGCAGTTTATCGGGTGCATCCCCAGGTGGCGGATAAGGGAACGCTTCCCAGGTATGGATAGTACCATGAATCAAACCCGAGGCAGTCCAAACTAGAGCTTAGAATACCGAAAGAAATTTTGAATACCGGTGTGCGGTGTTCAATCAATGTTATAGCAAGTAACAGCAATAAATATAACTTGATTATAAACAAGTTATTAAAACTAGCTATATTTTATTGGTGACCCCGACGAAAAACACAATACGAAAAATAATTTGGAGTCTGAGTCTCGACGAAAAGCCCAACACGGAAAATGATTTGGAATTCGAATCATTATTTTCCCTTGCACCTTGACTCCTTATTCTACTACTCAATTTTTAGAAGAATTAAAGAAATTTCAAGAAGAGTCAAGACAAGGTAAAGGATAAGCAAATATTAAATATTCTTCAAAAATTGGGGGAGAAGCTGAAGTTGGAACTGGAACGATAGAAAAATCAGTGAAAATGCACCATTGACAAGAATGACAACGTCATCAAGACTTCATTAACAAATGAATATTTTCTTGAAGAAAATTAATGAAAGGGATTAAAAAACTCAAGACCCGACGTCACACTTCATCCTTTAACATTTATTCGGCAACTTGGTGGAACATATTAACTTAAAGTACATTTTAAATCATTATTTTGGGAGGTGGATTTACGCTGTGAGTACCCCTTTTCAGTACTGAGATATAAAAGACCTCTCAAAATTTAAATTTTAACAAATCATTAACAAACAAGAATTTTTAATCGTTTCAAAATTTTTCTTTATCTCTTTGATTCGTTATGTTGAGAAGTGATGAAGCACCAGAAACGTCAGACTACGTTGGGGCAGTCAATATGAGACTACCTCCCTTTTGGGCTGCACGTCCAGAAACGTGGTTCTGGCAAATTGAATCACAGTTTGCCCTTGGTAGGATCACCAACGATCGTACCAAGTTTAATCTGGTGGTCACGCATCTTCCGCCAGAGATAATTAATTCTATAATCGATTTAATTAACACAATTCCGACGGAGGATGCGTACGGGTGTATAAAGAGAGCGATCATTAGCCGTTTTTCCTTAAGTGAAGAAAAGCGACTTAATGATCTACTCTCCAACACACACATGGGGGACCAGAAGCCCTCAGAGTTTTATCGAGAGCTTTTAGCCTCCATTGGAGACTCTCAACTGGTG